ACTCGTACATGTGTATATGTTACTGTTAGTGTGTAATCAGTCAGTGTGTAAAATGACTGAGATTTTTGAAAACTTTTAACAATTTTTAAACAAAACGATTAAATATTTCAGTCATTTTACAAATTGAGTGAATGATCTGTCCATTTATCTTATAATGATAATGAATTCCAAACATTATGATGTTAAATTTCATCACCCAGTGACTGCAAATGATAGGATAAGAAAACAAAAGTCAGGGTTTATTTTGGGGGTTTCTAATCCAAGCAAATCTGTCAAATAAATGAAATTTTCTAAGTGAATCACATTTAACATATTGACTGTAACATGTGCAGACATTTTGAACAGTCATATATTTGTTTTCAGGTGAGCTACAGTGTCATGGAACTATTTTTACTGATCTTAGCACTCATAAATCTTTTTCACAGTGACTTAAATTGTAAAATTATTTTATCAATATATTTTATTTCTGACTACAATTGTAGAAAGGAAACAATTTAAATATTTACAGAAAAAGTTTTGCAAGCTCATGTGGCAAGCTGCTTATAATTTTCCGATCCCATTTCAGTCCTAAGTCTTGCATTTAAATTGGTTGTCTTTGTTGTCCACTGTCAACGAATGATTGCAAAAATGTTTCCTGAAGTTGACATTTACTCTAATTTGTAGATTCTGAACTGTGTTTGTAAGATGAGATTGTAATTCTGTCTTCAGATAGATTAACTCAGTATTTCAATATTGGTTATTGCATCAGTTGAAGCAGAGTAAAATGATTTGAAAGAAAATTTTAATATTTGAATATTGAATACTGCTGTGGAGATTTCTTTACACAGAATTATTACTGTTCTTCATGGGCTCATATTTGACTCTTGGCAAATCAATTCTTATACAAGTATTAATATACATAGGTTTATTACAAGGCCAATCTTAAAGACCAAATAGTTCCAGCGAGCACATGATTTGCCTGAAATATTGCTAATCCACAAGGAGAGGAACGATTTATCATATCAAATATTGATGAAAGAATAAACAGAAATCTCCAACTCTTGGTTGAACTTACTTGTCTTGGGAGGCCACACGCTGGCTCAATACCCCTATGAACCGGGGATATATTCTCAGAGTTCATTTTTGTTATCCCCTGCCTGATAGTGGTTGGAATATTCTCACTCACTCACTCACTCACTCAATCAATCAAACAATCACTCACTCACTCACTCACTCACTCACTCACTCAATCACTCACTCACTCACTCACTCACTCACTCACTCACTCACTCCTTTTGGAACTTGTATACATGGTTAAAAAAGAACTGGCATTTTCGCTAGTCTCCAAATAGTCGTTATCCAACATTACCATATATCCTCATTTGTCACTCTTACCATGACGGTATCTGTCAGATGATTGAGTAATGTGCAGTGAAATTGTTTAATGGAGGCCATATGCTGGCTCAATACCCCAAAGAACCTGGGAATTATTCTCAGAGATCATTTTTGTTATCAGGAATATTCTCACTCACTCACTCACTCACTCACTCACTCACTCACTCACTCACTCACTCACTCACTCACTCACTCACTCACTCACTCACTCACTCACTCACTCACTCACTCCTTTTGGAACTTGTATGCTTGGTATTTTGGTTACCGCTAGGCTCCAAATAGTCGCTATCCAATATTACCATATATCCTCATTTGTCATGCTTACCATGACGGTATCCGTCAGATGATTGAATAATGTGCAATGGCATTGTTTAATGGAGCAGTTTTCAGGAAAATAGTACATTATGCTTCTGTTTTGATCAAGAGTAAACCAATGTTAAGCAATGCAGATACAATTATGTACAGTACACCATTGTGTCAAGCTATTGCTCAGTGCCGAACCTACGCGGGTCTGGTAAAAGCATGGTCCCTGTGTATTCCTTTTTTATTCATCAATTTCGGGTGTGTCGACCTCGGATAACTTGAAGTAAATCAACTTCGACACAATGGTATGACTGCATGTTTTCAGTATGTGGGTGGAAGTGATATTCAAATGGATCTGAGTTCGCTGTGAAAAATCATATTACATTAATGTGATGACTTGTTTGGCAAAACACTGTTGGCTGGCTAGACTTGCACAAGTCTCTAAGGCAATAATTATTAGTTTTAATCATAAGTTCTAGACTATGAAAATAATAAGAACAAGTTGTCCCTATAAGAGACTGGAGTCCTTAGACTGTCCACATATCTTGACTTGAGGATAGAATTACTACACATCCATAGATTTTTCTTTCAATAGTCGTTATCCAACATTACCATATATCCTCATTTGTCACGCTTACCATGACGGTATCCGTCAGATGATTGAATAATGTGCAGTGACATTGTTTAATGGACATCCATACACATCCATAGATTTTTCTTTCAATACATCCTTGAAGCAAGGCTCTAAACTGAGGAAGCGTATTGAATGACAGCCGCTGACCCAGTGTGGCACAACAAGCCATGTTCCTTCATCAGGGACGTCCATCTCTTTAGCTTGTACTTTGATATCTCTATCGGAACAGTGCTGCTATTGTCCTGGAAACTGTTCTAGATATTAAGAGAATGAGTGGGAAAGTATCAACACAACTGCTGGTGATTATTGGAAGCTACAAATGGTTTTAGCACAGCTTTAGCAAAGGTGATGTGTAATACTATAATAAAGTCATTTAGCATAGTGTCAAACCCACTTATATTGCGACTATGCTGTTGGCGTCAATCTGTTTGTCAGCATCAATCTATTTGGGTTGGGAAGTGTATTTTCTGTCAGTTTGGCTATTAGTTCAACAAATCCTGGTCAGTTGGAATGCTGGATGTCAAGACTTACATTAACCATGACAACTGCATGTGTTTCATTCTGTTTCTTGGTTTATTTGCACTTCTCAACAATTTACAGAAATAGATAAATAGCGCCATGATGGTTTGTCATCACCCAAATCTACTGTGGAATTTTCTTTTATATCAGCATTTCCAGATACTAATTCGTAAATAATAATTCATGGATGTAGATTATTAGCTGAGAGTGTTTCCGTATCGTAAACATTATTTTTCAAGAATACATATTTTTTAATTCCTTATACATGTAGTTGATAATTACAATTTTTGAAACATGAAGGTTATGATCTCTTTATCGTTTAATGTCATTCTTAAAATAATTGATGTTTAAGACATACTTTCGTTCAAGAAAGTAACTTTGGAAACCGTGTGTAAATATCGTGTTTGAGGGAACTGTCCCATGTGTCATATAGTGCCCTACAATCTGCAGCTATGTTTGTCTCCATCCACACATCGGAACACCCCAATCTAAACTTATGGAGAGCGTTAGTCAGTAGTTTACTCTGAGCAAACAGACATTGAATCGAAGTACTCCCTGCATGGTGACCTCATTTGCATATTTATTACATCGTGATACCAAGTTTATCACATACCTTTTTTGCATACTAGCCATTTGTCTACGTGATGAACAACAATAATAAGAATGTTGATAATTTTATAGAGAAGCTGTGAAAAAAAGAAATAATAAGTAATACCAATGATAACAACAGTCCATGCTTCCAAATTTTTAAAATATCCTGTTTGCATTACAGTCAACTACGGTTATAACACACTTAAAGGGACCACTAAGTTTAGTTCGTAATAACCGTAGTTCATCATAAGCACATATACAACATATATACTGCAAATGGACAGGGACAGTTCGTTATATCCATCAGTTTGTTATAAGCGTGTTAGTTATAAACATAGTTTCGAATCAGCCATTTTGCACTCACAATCAGAAAAGTCTGGCACACAGACTGGTTTCCGGATCCCTGCTTCCAATAGACATGATATTATCAGAATAGACTTTTCGGTGCACATGTAGGGGAAGTTACTTTGTCAGTGTGGCACCCTTCTAATCATTATACTCGTCAACAGAGTAAGTATCATCCTCGTGTATCCAGGGAATTATATCTCCATCACATCATGACCAATACCCTGGACCATTCGCTACCACAGCTTCATTTGAGAAGTTATATCCCCGTCCATCCAATCAGTAACCTTGCACAGATTTTATTACGCTTTTGGGTGTAATTTGATTGGACAGCTTTGTGTTGTGTTGTTTCAGTTATGTCGGACTCAAAATGAAGCTATGAGATATGAGTCCAGAGTATTTGTCATAATACAATGGATAAACGAAGATGAGATTGTGTGGGTAACTTCGATTTAAAATATGAGCACATGCGTCTTTAGGAATAAGGCAAATGCATGTTCAACACAGTTATCTGTGGGTTGAGATGCATGTTGAATAAACAGTGAAATTGGTACGGAAGCTGGAATGATTATTGCCTATGTTTAAGCTAACTTTAACATTACAAACACATCATCCTTGAATTTTTTTTCTGAATAAGAAAGGTAACTCTCTGTTGTTTAGGCAGGTTGCATGGCTTTTGGTCAGCTCTGCACATCTACATCATTTTGTTTAATACAGTGACTATTTACAGTAGAGCTGCTGAAAGGAATGTTGGGAGAAGTCGTCCACTGTTTTCATGGAGTACACCAGTTTGATTTACCTGATGTTGTTGAAGCAAGACTAGCAATGATTAATCTTTGTGTTATTAGGTACACATATCAACTCTGTTTGAATGATGGTTTGAACAAAGCCAGTGCAATTTGTTATCATTGTCATTGATATTGGTGGTTGTTTGTTTGTCTGTTTGTTTTGGGATTTTTGTTTAACGCTGCCATATGACAGCGGTCTGTAAATAATGGAGTCTAGACCAGACAATCCAGTGATTGACATCATGAGCATCGATCCAAGCAGTTGGGATACGATTACATGCATCAACCAAGCCAGCGAGCCTGATCACCCGATCATGTTAGTCGCCTCTTACGACAAGCATAGTCACCTTTGCGGTACTTCATTGAAACAATGTTTCAGAATCAGTTTCTATGTCCTCAAACATTGTAACATGATGACCACTAACATGTGTTTTATGTTGTTGCAGATAAAAACCAGGTGACGCAATGATTGGTCCTGACCTCACCGTAAGTGCCCCGACCCGTGTCTTCCATTCCTTGCTGCTGATTGGCTGCCTGCTCTTCCTCACCTCCGCACATGCCTCCTCATCCTCATCGTCCTCACATCGGCATGACTACTGCATCATTGGCGGCGGGCCCGGTGGACTACAGCTTGGCTACTTCATGGAACAAAAGGGCAGAGATTACGTTATTTTTGAAAAATCAAATGTTTCTGGTAAGTTTAATAGTTAATACTACTTTAATGTGTAATTCTATTTTACATGTAAACACTGTTGTTTTTACTGGTTTTATATAAGGCCATATATTTTTTTAGTTGGTTTATGAGACGAAATGTCAATCAAACAGTTTAAGAGACAGACCTACTAAAATAATTAGAAGAAGAAAAAAATTGATTTTTGACCAAAAGAAATTTAGTTCGAAACAAAACCACAAAATCTTATCACTGCTGGTCATAAGTAATGTTGAATGATATGTATAAAATCTTTATTCTAACCAGAAAAAAAATCAATTATTATTTCGGTATTGTTTCACAATTGTACTTCAATGATTGCGTGACCGTCTTGTTTGCTTTTCATTCTTTAACAGCAGTACTAATCTAGGAGGTGACTTACATGTATTATATTTTCAACCACTTATCCCCGTATTATGGGTTTTCGGACGCTTAAGAAACATTTGTAGTTTTCTCGCTAATCACATGAACAACTGTAAAACATCCCATTCACTTAAAAACAAGCCATCATCTGAGTATTTAACAGTGTCTGCTTGACACCACACTACTTGTTAAAGCACGAAGAATTGCAATAACATGTCTGTTCGAAAATGTATTATGTCCGAAAACCTATGATCCAACGATACTTTAAAATTTTAGGCCCAATGTTTGCACACCAAATGATCAAAATTAAACGCCTAATGCTTCTGAATATTTCTCAATGTAAGATGATGGCTACATGGAGAGTAAATAGAGATTGTTAACCCGGTGTGATTTAGAATTGTAAATACAAATGTAACAGGAATTAATGGTCTGTGTTTACACTCACCAGTAGGATATTTACAATACAGAAACACATGATCTCTTTATCATATCATCTCATTCTTGAAATTTTGAGTTTAATTTTATATTTATATTTTAGGTTAAGTCACATTTATTTTATTCGTGTAAGAATAGTGCTGAACAAAAATTTAGAGCTTTAAGTCAACAGACAGTGGTAGCCAAAGAAATTGATACAAAATGTGCACCCTATCCAGTTATGGGTGCCCATGCATAACATGTGTATTACCAATGCGAGATCTTTTTGGACACACTGTTAAGTTATTCACCAGAAACTGCTGGTCTGCTTAAGGTAAATTCGGCAAGAGCATTTCTAATATACAAACTTCACGTAGTCAGCTGTTTGTTTTCATGTATTAATGAGGACCAACAAATGCTGTGTTTTGTCGACTCATTTGGGGAGACAGGAACCCAGTCTAGGTCTAGAACTTTTTGAGAATGTTGGGCAAAGCATCATCACATTGATGTTTAGAGCTTCTTAAAGGTAGTTCCTGCGAGGTGAATTCATTTGGATTTTAATTGTATGTTGATACCGTGATTGGTTTTATTGCATCAATATAGCTGTATTCCTCATTTGATAATGAGAGTCACTATGTGGTAATAAACCTCCCCCAGTGTTTCTCTCATTTGCCACATAACACTCTCATTTGTGTTCTTTCAGGAAACTTTTTTACAGTATATCCTCGCCACAGAAAATTGATCAGTTTAAACAAGCGCTACACTGGCCAGACAAACAAAGAATTCAACATGCGGCATGACTGGAACTCCCTGCTGAGTCATGATGAAAGTCTGCTGCTGAAACATTACTCCAAGGTAAGCCGGCAGTGGGGGTGCTGTTGTTGTCCTATTGTCGTCCCTTTGTAGTCCTGTTTAGTCCCTTTGTAGTCCTGTTTAGTCCCTTTGTAGTCCTGTTTAGTCCCTTTGTAGTCCTGTTTAGTCCCTTTGTAGTCCTGTTTAGTCCAGTTGTGGTGTCATTGTAGTCCTGTTTGTTGTTTAAGGGTTAAAATTGGTTTATTTATGTCTTTGTGTTTTTCAAATATATTCAAGGGTTAATGATGGTTTATTGAATGAACAAATTGGGGCGGGAGATATTGGAATGGGGTTCATCCTTACGTCCATCCTTCCGTCCATCCTCTTCTTAATGGGGACAAATTTTCTCAAAAACTATTCAAGTTAGAGGAATGAAATTCTACACACTGATGTTACTATTGGTGTCGCACATTCATATTTTACAGAGTTTTGGCCCTTGCTCCATGATTGTCAACTTAGTGCATACAGAGTGAAATGGGGACAAGTTTTCTCAGCAACTACTGAAATTAAGTGATTGAAAATTTTGCATGCTTATCTAAAAGATACTTGTCAAGATTGAGTTCAAAAATTGGTCCTGTGAATTAATTTTTTACAGAGTTATGGCCCTTGCCCCATGTTTTTCAACTTAGTGCATAGTGTTTGCAATGGGGTATTCTCAGAAACTACTGAAGCTACAAGAATGAAAGGTTGCATGCTTTTCTAAGAGTTACTCGTCAAGACAGAGTTACTTGTCCAGACAGAGTTCAACAATTGGTCCCGTCAATTAATTGAGTTACGGTCTTCGATCCATGTTATTTGTGCAATGGGGGCAAGTTTTCTCAGAAACAACTGAAGTTAGCTTATCTTAGCTTAAGAGATACTTATATTTTTCCAGAGAAAGGGCCTTTTGTGTGCATTAATTTCACATTTAATCGGGGGGTTTTTGATGACAAAAAGCGGCCATAGTGCCTATAGAAGAACCCTTTTTTATAGTTTTATAGTTTTTGTTCACTACTCTATGAACAAACAAACTTCTAATGTGCCTCATGGCGAGGGATAGTGATGACGGTGTTTTCTTGTTATTTATGTCTTTATGTTAGCCAAATATGTTCAAGGGTTAACGATGATTTATTTATGTCTGTATGGTAGCAAATATGTTCAAGGGTTAACAACGGTTTATGTATGTCTTTATGTTAGCCATATTTGTTCAAGTCTTTTTGGTTTTTTGAATAAGCCAATGAGTTGTCTCCCCTAGGAAATGTTCCCCCACGCTGACGTGCTGCTCCATTACCTGAGAGACTACGAGAGGAAGCTGGGTATCAACGTCCAGCACAACACGGAGATTATGGCTATAAATACCGTAAAGGATGCTGCCATGCCGGACGGACAGTACTTCTCTCTCGATGATCAAAACAAGAACAATTATCAATGCAGGTTGGAATGTGTTATTTTTTTATGACGAATTGTTATTTTGTCACAGATATTTATATGTTGTGATCACTGGCCTCCCCTAATAACAACCCCCTGTAACCACGATGCTAAGAAATATTGTTACGATTTTGAGCCTAAAATGACAGTCTTGCTTGTCCTCGCCCAAATTCTGATTTGCACCAGCACAAATTATGGCACTATTCTGACCAATGAGAGCCATGCTTTCAATTCACAAAGTGTTAAAATATCCATTACTCCGTGATACAATATCTCTCTGATTGGTTGTCATGTTAAAATACACTGAAGGGATTTATTGATCAATCTTTATGGGTGCAGATGGGTAACTACAAGTACTGTTAACTTTACAGTTTCAAATCTGTTTTAGACCATGATTTTGTTGATGACTGTTGTAATACTCATTTATCGCTCATAGCACATCAATGTTAGTGCATCAGAATTAAGTAACCAGTTATGTAATTAGTCTATGCATAGGAATATCTTCCTGTGCTTGCACTTCTTCTATCTGTAACATCATGAAGTCATCCAACTTGATCCAAGTAAACCAAGTCGCACTAAAATGTGTTTGTCTGCTATTACCTGAAATCCTGATTCAACATTATAGCTAAAATGGATAGAATTATCATTAAACCGTCCGCATGTTATCAGAAATGAGCGGGCCACTGTAACTTGATAATGCCCTCCTATTGCTTGACGACGGGCTATTATCACGCCCGTTGTTAGGTGACGTCATAGGCCGTTCAATAGTGACGTCATCTGGTTTGTTCTCTGATGTTTCCATATCTGTAAAAGTGGGTCAGTGACATTTGTGTTGATTGCAGTAAATGTTTCTAAACCGATATTGTTGTTTCTTTTTATTACATAACAAATTCCATCCATTTCAGCTATAATGAGGGTAACGGTCTTTTCAACCACCCTCCTTTGTCGGGCAGTCAATGGATGACCTCAGGCTTCTGCAAATGATAATGCCCTGAAAAATAGTGTTACCCTTATAGTATGTGTAACATGGTTCTACAACAATGACCCTGCAAATGATATATATATCTCACAAAGCACCTTACTTAATATACATGAATCCGTGTTCTGTTACAGATCTGTGATAGTTGCCACTGGCCTGTGGAAGCCCAACATCCCCAACGTCCCCGGGATTGAATATGCTGTTGGTTATGAAGATGTGTCCATCAATACTGATGACTTCGAAGGACAGACAGTGCTTATACTTGGTGAGGAGACAAATTGACTGCAACCATATCAGCAATATATGCTGCAATGTATCTGCTCACTGGTACCTGTACCTGATAACTCTGGGCTCTACTGGCAGCTCCAGCCTCTAGTAGGGGTGAAGAGTTTAAGTTAAGAGTATGTAATCACCAGAAATCAAGAAACCTAAAATGGTTTTCAAATAAACAAATACTGTATTCGATGTAATAAGCGCCCCTCTCTAATAAGCGCCCACGGCAATATTTGCTAATGTATTAGCTAGTAAACAATCCCAGTTAGCACCCCTTCCGATTGATCAATATAAACAAGACTTATTTATTCGTGTATAATATGCACTCGTGTGATATATACACCCTTAATTATGGGCAATTAAATTCTGGAAAATATATGTCATGTATAATACACACATCCTTTTCTTTTGTATCATTTCGGCTGTCAATTCTGTGTTTTTTCTCACTAAAATTATATTCTAGTAAGAGCCCCCTATTTCTAATTTTGAGAGCGCCCTGGGCGCTTATTACGTCGAATATTACGTCGAATACGGTAGTACCACTTACTAACTAGCAAACAGAGGTTCATGAACCTAGTTAACCTAGATTTTTTTTAAGAATTGCCCTGAATGTTTTTGCATTGGAGGTTTAAACATACAAACAAGTGAACACACTGATGTAGCCCGCATGGCTCATTTACGCAAAGTGTGCACACAGGTTTTATGTGTTAACTCCATCAATACAAAAACATATTGAAGTCAATTCTCTTGTAAATAAATATGTCAACAATAATAACTTCACAGAAACACACAAAATATGTAGCAACATCGTTTGGGTATTCTGGATTTGAATTAGTCTATATGCCTGTAGTAGATGCTAGTCACTGTGTCTGAGTTACATGGAATGATGCTCATGTTGTCAATCACTGGATTGTCTGGTCCAGACTCCATTATTTACAGACCGCCATAACAGAGCTTGAAGATTGCTGAATGTGGCGTCACACGACAAACACAAACAAATTCATAGCTCATAGGGATTATTCTAGGCCTACCTAGTTGCTGATATTCAGCCCCAAGTCTGCAACAAAGAACAGTAAATATTCCCAATTTGAATTAGAAGTTTCACAATTCCTCAGAATATATGAAAATATGGTTTAAAAAATCCAATTTTGATCAATATCACAATTTCTTTCCCAATTTATGTGCCAAGAGACTTAGTTAGCAGTCTCACATAAATCTCTGCTGTGTGAGTGTCTTTGCCCTGTGTGTAGATATATGTTGCTGGTATTCAAATTGGCACTAGCTAGTCGAAGTTAAAGGCATCCCAAGGGCCAGTAGAGTTTCAGGTTTTGTAGGAGGTGTCCTTGTATGCTATCACTATCTGACATTTACAGAAAACATTGTTCGAGATAATGAATACCATGGATGGTATTTAAATGTTGATTAAATTTTGATATTAGCATCTCATCTGCCCAACTGATACTCAGTGAGTTGTAATGGTTACCTGTCAATACAAGTGTCCGTGTAATTATCTTTCTCAGGTCGAGGCAATGCAGCATTTGAAACAGGGGACGCCATCTATGGTTCCACAAACCTTATACATATGGTAGGGAGATCACGTGTCCGGTTGTCGTGGGCAACACACTATGTGGGAGACCTCAGGTGAGAAACAAGCTGCTATGTTTTTGGAATCAAGGGTCGTTTTCGCAAAGTGATTGTAGCGGCAATACTGTCATTACTCCATCCTGTACTAAGAGCCTAGTGGATATTCACGGTCAGCACTGGTCCTCACCAACCTACTACTAAATGGATTGGGTGGTCGGGCTTGATGACTTGATTGTTGCTCATAATATCGATCACTGGTTTGTTTGATTCAGACTTAACTATTTTTATACTACAATCACAGAGCTGCAGTATTGAGTGCAACACGCACAAAAAGCAAAAGACACTTTAACATAGGTGTGTGGTAGTTGTGCTACAACCCCTTTGTGAAACGGTGTTCAGGCCAAATACCACAATACAACTGTGGTGCTTAAACTGTTTTGACATTGCTTCATAGTCTCAATCTTGTAGTCCATTATGACAGTCTGCATTAAACTACACTCACTCACTCACTCACTCACTCACTCACTCACTCACTCACTCACTCACTCACTCACTCACTCACTCACTCACTCACTCACTCATATTATTTTGTAAAAGTCAGTGAAATTGATAGCCAAATATAATTCAGATTGACATGCTATCAGATGATTTTGTTGAATTCTGTTTCTGGCATTTGCTGATATAATGCTATATGCAACTGTTCAAAATCATGGCCATGGATGTGTAACTGTCAATGACCTGCTGTCTTTTCAGAGCTGTGAACAATGGCCTGCTGGACACCTACCAACTCAAGTCACTGGACGGAGTTCTTGAGGCATCCCTAAGTGAGGTGAAGTTTGTCAAGACGAAGGACGATAAATACGTTGTGGCACTCAATACAGAAGAGGAACAGGAGGTGGAGTTGTCTTATCTTGATAACTTCGCCATGAGGGAACCATATGACAAGATTATTCGCTGTCTGGGATTTGATTTTGATGATTCTATATTTACAAAGTAAGTATTTCACTCATCACACCTACTCCTGTCACTAGTGTGGAATAGAGTCCATCCGTTAAGTCTTTATGTCATTCCAGGTTAGAATTGATCTGGATCATGTTCTTGTATCAGCCATGGATCATGTTCTTGTATCAGCCATGGATCATGTACTTGTATCAGCCATGGATCATGTTCTTGTATCAGCCATGGATCATGTTCTTGTATCAGCCATGGATCATGTTCTTGTATCAGCCGTGGATCATGTTCTTGTATCAGCCATGGATCATGTTCTTGTATCAGCCATGGATCATGTTCTTGTATCAGCCATGGATCATGTTCTTGTATCAGCCGTGGATCATGTTCTTGTATCAGCCATGGATCATGTTCTTGTATCAGCCATGGATCTTGTACTTGTATTAGCCGTGGATCATGTTCTTGTATCAGCCGTGGATCATGTTCTTGTATCAGCCATGGATCATGTTCTTGTATCAGCCATGGATCTTGTACTTGTATTAGCCGTGGATCATGTTCTTGTATCAGCCGTGGATCATGTTCTTGTATCAGCCATGGATCATGTACTTGTATCAGCCATGGATCATGATCTTGTATCAGCCATGGATCATGTTCTTGTATCAGCCATGGATCATGTACTTGTATTAGCCATGGATCATGTTCTTGTATCAGCCATGGATCATGTTCTTGTATCAGCCATGGATCATGTACTTGTATCAGCCATGGATCATGTTCTTGTATCAGCCATGGATCATGTTCTTGTATCAGGCATGGATCATGTTCTTGTATCAGCCATGGATCATGTACTTGTAACAGCTATTTTGGGGGCCAGGAGGAGATTTGTCATCTACTGACTCTTTGTTATTCATATTCTGTAAGGAGGTATCATTAAATACATTCTGTCTTTCCTTGAGGTAGAGTTTTGCTGTTGCCGGCACTCATGGTCAGTGCAGTGAGTACTAGGGAATGAATATTGAATATAGATTGATTTGTTCTATAAAAACCCTTTGGATGATATTCAACACCTAGTAAATAACTTCAGTTGAAAAATGTGTGATGAAAGAGGCCACTAGACACAGGAATTGAACATTTTCTAAATTAAGATTTTTTGTTTTCTTTTTTGGGGTGGGTGGGGTATATCACAAAGCTTTAGAAATTGAGTTTTTTTATGTGACATCATACTTTTTGAACTGCTCTGTAGAAAGTTGTAATGTTGAAAAAAATTAATAGAATGAAACTTGACAGGGCCTGACAAGTCCTGAATTATTTTGGGTAAATAAGTTGTAAAAGACAAGTATCATGTTTATGCATGAAAACATTCAACTTACAGGTATCCATTCTAATAAGGTTTCTCTCTTCATTTAATCTTCATTTTAGGATGCTATTGAAATAACTCCTAGATTTCGCATATACATTTTGAGAAGTAACATATATTTTGATATTTTATTTATATTTTACCAAAAGGCGTTAAGAGATGGTACTTGTTGTTACACTGTCTGGGCTCGGCAGTCCTAAAACAAAAAACGTTAAACCCATTTCACCTCACACTGATATTTTAGTGACTTCTTTTACACTATTCCACAGTAGGTGGCTTTAAAGAGAAAATGGCACTGGGCTATGTCATGAGGCGAGGTTTGCTGAGAGATATTAGGTATCTACCATGGTAGAAATACTGAAGGTTCACATTCCTGATTCTCTTGCTGATGAACACCTTGAAGTCAAATTAGTGGCCTTCAGTCCATCTTTCTGAAGCTCATTTACATCGTGTCAAGATGTGAGATTACTGCAGCCAGTGGAATGAGGCCACATTTCATACTCTGACATTTACCAATATACCACATCACTCATGAAATGACCTGGCTAGGGCTGCACCGGAGATGCGAGTCACGACGGTCTAGCTGTGGACTGGATTGCTGTAACACTGTCAGAGTTATCTCCCTTTAACTGTGATTGCCCCTGAATGTGGGGACTGCCATGTGGAGACATCTATCAGTAGAGATACAGCTTTATCAGAAGACAAACACTTTTATCAGTAGGGATACTGTTTTATCAGTTGATCTTCAATTTTTTCATTTTAGATACAAGTTTATGAGAGATATTTTAATCAGTAAAGATACAGTTTTATCAGTAGAGATATAGTTTTATCATTAGATATAAGCTAGATATAGATATAGAGAGATTACTACACGAGTGTCTGTCAGATACCATTGATCTTACAACTCGTTACAAAGCGTATCTAACAAGCGAAAGCGAGGACGAGTTTGTTTATTTTCATTATTAATTCCACGGTCCTGTTGGTGAACATTCAACTGAAACACAAGCAACTTATGAATGCCTTACAATCAGGAAAGTAGTCCATCATCATCTGACCTCCGGTCATCACCATGGAGTAGCCAATCACGGGCCTAGAATTCGATCTCACGCAAATGTTTGATACCAGTTATGTCAAATGGGTTTCTCATCCACAAAATTGTAGGAAACAGTAGAGATATAGTTTTTTTCAGTGGAGATACAGTTTTTTCAATAGAGATATAGTTTTTTTCAGTGGAGATACAGTTTTTTCAGTGGTGATGTTCATGTTGATGTTCATGTGGTAGAATGTGTGTCTGATGTTACCCTTTTTCTTCATAGCTCTTCCAGAGTAAGTCGAGGAAAAGGGAGGTCCAAGAAATACCCCTTGATCAAACACAACTATGAGTCAATGGAAGTGCCAGGGATGTTTTTTGCTGGCACGAACACCCACTCTCTCGACCACAGGAAGTCTGCGGGAGGCTTCATCCATGGCTTCCGATACACAGGTAAATGGACACCCAGAGACAGTCTGTTGCTTGTCAACATAGGGACGTTACTGATGGGGGCTTCAGAATCTTTTCATGTCCTTTCTGGTGAAACTGATGAAAATACTAATGCTGTTATAGCACTGGCCACAACATTTGATAGCCTAACAATGTTTGTCAACATTTTGTCACCAGCATGGTACGCTATATAATTGCGGTAGTTAATTTATAATGGATTGTAATGGCGAATGCTTACTTACACATTAACTATGTCATACTCAAAATGTTTCTTGTTCTTTATTCAACTTTTATGACACATCAAGTAGGATTGATCAATACTGATTTTCTTTACCAAATTTGGTAAACAAAGTACCTGTCATTAGCCATCCAAGGGCGGGTAACTCTATATTATCGCGGTATCACTTTTTGTGTATGATATGTGTCAATTATGTGGTTTACATCACTTAATGTTTTGGATTATGCATAATCTGGTGCCTTTTGATAGTTTGGGATTTTAACATTTTTTTAAAAATTGAGTTTCCATGGCAACGACTTTGATTTAGACTGAAAATGGCGGTAGTCCTCGTTTCTGGAGCAGATCTTGAAAACCGTACTTATATTTCTTCATCAAACTTCGCACATAGATAGGTCTAGTGGTGAACTGGTGCCTTTTGATTGTTTGGGATTTTTAAAAAAACTATTTTTTGAGTTTCCATGGCAGTGACTCTGATTTAGGCTGAAAATGGCGGCAGTCCTCGTTTCCAGAGCAGATCTTGAAAACTGTACCATATTTCAGCATAATCAGTATTCATATGACCTAGGTTGGGTCAAAGGACATGGTCCAAATAAGTGGATTCTTTTCTAACCAATTTCAAGTGGAGGTAGGGGTAATTCCACTTCAAAAACATTCCAGAAAATATCATAAAAAAGTTAACATGTATACTTACGAGTAGCCGTGACATAACGCAACAATTCCTATTTTCGATCATGCGATGAAATATTGTGCTTGGTTTTGCATCAGTGAACGGTCGACCGCGATACCGCGATAATATAGAGTCATACTACACTTGTTGATACCGAGCCTGGCGGATTAAGGGGATTAAACACGTATCTCAGTTTGCTATGACTATAAAGGGGATTAAACACGTATCTCAGTTTGCTATGTCTATAAAACCGATGTTTGACAAGCAGCCACAAACAAGTAAATGCACGTTGCTACATAAGTGCAGTAATCTTGAACGTGACGTTAAACCCCATTTCACCTCTCCACCAGCCACTAGAAACTCTACATCGTGTGCTTATTACTGGCAACTCTGCCTGTTTGTTAGCTGATAAATTGTGCTTTACATGATCACAGCACGTGCTCTTCACACGCTGCTGGAGTGGCGGTATGAGGGAGTGCAATGGCCGTCTAAGAAGCTCCCCATCACAGACCTGATGAGCTACCTGCTGAAGAGGATGAATGAAGCGTCCGGCATCTACCAGATGTTCAGTGTGCTAGGAGATGTTATACTCCTCAATGAGTAAGATCGATGCTTAGGTTATGCCATCTGTCAGTAGTTATATATAGTACCCTCTCATCTGCTGCCCCTGTGGTCCGTTAAAGGCGATTATGCTTGTCGTAAGAGGCGAATAATGGGATCGGGTGGTCAGGCTCGCTGACTTGGTTGATGCATGTCATCATATCCCAATTGCGTTGATCGATGCTCATGATGATCACAGGATTGTCTGGTCCAGACTCTTATTTACAGACCTCTGTCAAATAGCTGAAATTTAGCTGAGCGCAGTGTTAAACAAGAAGCAGACAGAGGCTCCTATGATCCAATTTTTAGCTCACCTGACTGAAGGCAAACACACCTATGTCATAACATTTCTGTGGTCCATTTTTTGCATCCTTAACCGACATCTCTGAAAGTACAAGGCCTGTCGAGGTGATATTGTATCAAAGATCCCAGCTGTGGTGTATCTGAAAAGGGCTCACTCAATTTCTGTCAGATTTTAAACATGTCTGCCTTATTTATTCACAAGTCAGGTGATCTTGAGCACCATATGGCTTGTTTTCTGCACTATGTCATCTACAAGAAGAGAGTTCCATTTAGCCTGATCCGCAGGATAAGTTCATATCATACATGTCCATCAGTGTTTGTGTCAACTTGAAATACTAATTCACCTCATCTGCTTTTCAGAGATGGCTCCATGTTTGAATACTTTGAGGAATTCCCCATCAACTTGCTCCATCAGTTTCCCTCCGTTACTGGACACCCTGCTACCAGAGTTATTGCCCTTGTCATGCAATATGGGGCCAACTTTTCGGGACCAGGAAACGACATATTCCGTGTGGACCGAGCGACTGGCGAGCCTTCCGAAGCACATCACTCCAACTTCCTCCACCCTGTGTTGTACTATTACGACCAGCTACCCACAGGTGAGTCTCACATACCTCACGCCAACTTCCTGTACTTGATATATACAGTGAGTGAGTGAGTTGGGTTTAACACTTTTTTAACGCTTTTAACAGTATTACAGTTATATTGCGGCATGTCAGCATAATGTGGGAGGCAAGCCCGAAGTGATGCAGGTCTCAGACGTTAACCACTTCTGTGAAATCCTCGAGCACGGGTATGGTGATGACAAACCTAGAAACATAAACAGGGCGAACTGGGATTTGAATCCATAATCATAAGTTTCTGGCATGCCCAAAGGTACGCTACTCTGCACAGCAATTCGCAGCACCTTAGACAACTGGGCCACCCTACACTGTAATAAAGCTGGAATATTACTGCAGCAGTAAAAGACATTCACTCACTCACTCAACTTCATTCAACTCAAATCTTTTACTCCGATACAATACCTCTCTGTGAGATCCATAAGCGATCGCCTCAGGGAAACTCAGAGTGAAAGTTGACCTTCCAGTCTAAATGGGGTCACGTGTGGTCCAGTCGGCTAAGACACCCCAATTCGCTGTACAAACATTTGTCGCTCACTCCGATATAAATGAAGGACTCTTGGGTTCTTCAGCCAATCAGATATCAGCTTTCTAAAACAAGTCAGCTTTATTTCTTTAATACCATCGATTCAGAAATTTTGATTTTAACAAAAGCAAACCCACACAGAACACAGTCATTGTTTTGATGGAACTCCCATTTGTAGATGCTATGGTGATCAGGAATGACAGGGTGTTTAAAATAACCACAAACATGGCAAGGTACAACCCTATTTGTTTACATTCAGAAGTACTTTTGTTTGTTTTCGAGGTGAAGAAGTAAGACATGGCGATATGAGATCAGACAGATCCGATTATTAGATCTGATTTGCTCACTCACTGTCACTATGAGTTTAGCTTGCAAACTGGAGAAACGTGGAGAAAGTGACCAATTGATGCTTATGATACAATTCTATGAACAAAGATCATAGGCATGGGACGATACACCGATACATTGGTGATCGCGATATTTTACTTCCCGATACCAGTATCGATCTTAGTCGCACACGAAATTCAAAATATCGATTCATACCTTAAATGTTTGCTGAAATGGCTGTTACGCCAACCACTAATTAGTATTGAAAAAGTAAATATTTTCATGCGTTGCGTCTTACTTGATACTGCCAGCTGTAAATCGTCAGTGTCAGTATTTGACTATCTTGACTATGAAAAAGATGGCTTACACACCACAGATATGAGCAGTTACAAGTATTGTGATACGTATCGGATTGTGAACAAGGTATCATGATACATATCGGATCGCTCTGTTGGTGTATCGTTCAGCCCTAGAAGATAATTATCTGATTTGTGATGTATTTTTATTGCAGAGGAACAGATGAAGTATCGATTGAAACGAGATATACTTCCTCGACCAAAGTTGATCCACCATATTGTGGAAGATTTCCTCACGCTATGGGACGCCCCCCTCAGTCACGTCCTACCCCTTAGACGATACCTCGATCAAATCCTTGACACTGATACCCGCCACTTCTTCACGGAAACTTGTTTCAAGATGGCCATGACCCATGCAAGCGTTCCCTTGACCTGTCAGAAACACTACCTTGAAGGTCAAGGTCTGACTGGAACAAGTGCTCTTCGTCGTAAAGCATTTGAAATTGGACTAATGGCGTAACAGTGAGAGAAATACAATCCTGTTTCCCTGTGATATGCAAAATCTGCCCTAATGTTCTTGTTGAACTGATTCTTTTTCCCAAATCAGAATGTATTTTTGATGTGTAGATCTGAACATAGGTTTTTGTCTGAAGAAGTGGTATATGGAGATCAACTGCAGAGCACAGACGTGCAGTAAACTTGTCAAATAATACGTCTTCTTGCCAAATAATGTACAAACCCATTGCCTTCTGTTTGTAAGAAAACAGGTTCCTGTAAGAGTTATCTCCCATGCAACATGCATCTAACACAGACGTATCGGTTTCTATCTTAGTCTTGTTAATTCATGGCTATTAGTGGATCTTGTTGAGTATCTTGAATACCAAAGTTGTCATATCATGGTGTTAGGGATAATAGAACTGTAGCTGATCACGATGTAAATTATATATCAGGGATGTCACAGTTAGACTTTTTCTCTATACGATATGTATCGCAGTACTTTATTCGTAGCAATTTTGCTTGAATTTATATATTTCATAAGGCATAAAGATTATTTAAAAGGTTAGAAACTTCCTGAATATGTCGACGGATATTTGAAAAAAGATACATGTATGTTCTTATTTCAATCAATACCCATACTTTATCCTGGAAAAAACTGGACTGTCAGCACCAGTAAGACAAAGACTTGAACAGAATTTATATCTTAAAACTGTGTACATTGTAGATGAAGTATAAATTAATAATGATAAAATTGTTTATTATTAATGTAAGTACGACACATTTTGCCATTACAGTCATAAATATGCCATGTGTGACCGAAACAGGATTCAAATATGAATCGATACAAGATTGAAATATGAATCGATACAGGTAGGTGTGTATAGCATAGCACATCTTCTAAGAATGATATTGATGTAGTGGTTTATTGTGACATCCCTATTCGAGACCCTGACTGTGTTCAGGATGGAATGACTGAAGGGTGGTTAAAGGGTTGCCAGCACACAGCATGTTACTTTCATGATTTACTTCGTATCTTGTTTATTCAATGAGTTGTGCCATTTTTAATGCTGTTTAATTTGCTGCTGACATGGAATATGCTTTCCTTATGAACAGTAGTTTTTAGAAGTATATGTTTTGAAGGTTCTCCTGATATTTTATCAACTAGTTACTGATATGCTGTTGGACTAATCCTATCACTGCATGCTGTAATAGTGGTTGTTTTCGTCAGATTTGTAACTGAATAAAAGGGACACTTTTATACGTACTGGCACATTTGACATGAGTTATTAAGCTGAGTGAATTAAGTTGCTTGTGCCTCTCAGCCTACACTTCGTTGCCCATGTGCTCGCCGCTTCTGCTGCAGATCTTGTTCACCTTGCCTTGTGTGTGCAAAGGTAAAGGTCAGATCTTGTTCACCTTGCCTTGTGTGTGCAAAGGTAAAGGTCAGATCTTGTTCACCTTGCCTTGTGTGTGCAAAGGTAAAGGTCAGATCTTGTTCACCTTGCCTTGTGTGTGCAAAGGTAAAGGTCAGATCTTGTGAATTCTAAGGAAAATTTGTGTGCTAATATTTGATACTTAATCATAAGACTCTACTTACCTAATAAGGAGACATGACCTGTGGTTTTATGGATTTAATCCAAGGTCAAGGTCACAAGTTCAGATCCTAAAAACATGGCAAGAGCGTTTGGGCTAATTATTTCAGTTTGCCTGATGAGATGAGATGAGATGGCAATAGTCTGTCAGATAAGATGAATTATTAATACGTTCATCAGCATATTGTCATAACTTTAGAAATTTTAATATGGCTGCTGTCAATTCACTGTCAATATTTTAACAGTTAAGGGTGTATTTTGTCATAGTTTGTCAATCACATTTTAGGATCTTCATGAAACTGGGTGTCCATATCGTTTATGAGGTTCTATTGTTTTGTTGCTATATATCTAACGGTCAAGGTTGAGGTTTTTTTTATAACTGAGAGCTTGAGTTGTATACATCTCCGTTACTGTAGATGCAGTGTTGAATTGTTGGTTTGTGTCCTTCTGATGAAGATGGTGATTGGATGGAATCAGTTTCAGCTAATGCTAACATCATTTTTGGTCTGTGTATAGATGTGTCATGATACCACAGGGTCCAGCTAATCCTATTATGGTAACCAGCTACAGACACTGTTCTTCTTGTAGAACTGTACATGACACCCTGGTGTCCGAACACCAGCTACACTACAGGTGAAAGACACAAATTCCAGTAGAATGTACATGACACCCTGGTGTCCGAACACCAGCTACACTACAGGTGAAAGACACTAATTCCAGTAGAATGTACATGACACCCTGGTGTCCAAACACCAGCTACACTACAGGTGAAAGACACTAATTCCAGTAGAATGTACATGACACCCTGGTGTCCGAACACCAGCTACACTACAGGTGAAAGACACAAATTCCAGTAGAATGTACATGACACCCTGGTGTCCGAACACCAGCTACACTACAGGTGAAAGACACTAATTCCAGTAGAATGTACATGACACTCTGGTGTCCAAACACCAGCTACACTACAGGTGAAAGACACTAATTCCAGTAGAATATACATGACACCCTAGTGTCCGGACACCAGCTACACTACAGGTGAAAGACACTAATTCCAGTAGAATGTACATGACACCCTAGTGTCTGGTCATCAGCTACACTACAGGTGAAAGACACTTATTCCAGTAGAATGTACATGACACCCTAGTGTCCGAACACCAGCTACACTACAGGTGAAAGACACTAATTCAAGTAGAATGTACATGACACCCTGGTGTCCGGACAACAGCTACACTACAGGTGAAAGACACTTTTATTCCAGTAGGAGAGGCAGATATACACGTTATGATGTCATTTAGTCATTCCTATTGATGTTTTTCTTTTCCCTGGTGATTGAAAGAGATTTGCGTTACTGAATCAGTGAAAGTGCAGTTATTTTAAAAAATGGGGAAAGAACATTATGATGGTGCTAACTCTAGAGCATATCCAAAATTGGTGTATGGGTATTTGTCAAATATCAAATAATTGTGTATGTTGCTATCAGATATACCAAGACCTAATGAAAATTATTCATATTTATGGTGTTGCTTCTACTTCTACTCATAGAGCACCACTATTACCCATCTCCTTACTCTAGAGCACCACAACACTGATCTTTTCACTGCACCACCAATACCCATGCCCTTACTCTAGAGCACCACAACACTGATCTTTTCACTGCACCACCATTACCCATCTCCTTACTCCAGAGCACCACAACACTGATCTTTTCACTGCACCACCAATACCCATCTCCTTACTCTAGAGCACCACAACACTGATCTTTTCACTGCACCACCAATACCCATCTCCTTACTCTAGAGCACCACAACACTGATCTTTTCACTGCACCACCAATACCCATCTCCTTACTCTAGAGCACCACAACACTGATCTTTTCACTGCACCACCATTACCCATGACCTTACTCATAGAGCACCAATATTACCTATCTCTTTACAATTATGAGCATCACCAACAGCCATTTCCTTACTCATAAGAGCACCACCAACAGCCATTTCCTTTCTCTTAAGAGCACCACCAACACCCATCTTCTTACTAAGTTAGCAATACCTGTCTCCTGTACGACTGAAAACAGACCAATAAAAGCACCACCTTCAGAGCACCACCAACAGCCATTTCCTTACTCTTCAGAGCAGCACCAACAGCCATTTCCTTACTCTTAAGAGCATCACCAACAGCAATTTCCTTACTCTTCGGAGCACCACCAACATCCATTTCCTTACTCTTAAGAGCATCACCAACAGCAATTTCCTTACTCTTAAGAGCATAACCAACAGCCATTTCATTACTCTTAAGAGCATCCCCAACAGCCATTTCTTTACTCTTAAGAGCATCACCAACAGCAATTTCCTTATTCTTCAGAGCACCACCAACAGCAATTTCCTTACTCTTAAGAGCACCACCAACATCCATTTCCTTACTCTTAAGAGCATCACCAACAGCCATTTTCTTACTCTTAAGAGCATCACCAACAGCAATTTCCTTACTCTTAAGAGCACCACCAACAGCCATTTCTTTACTCTTAAGAGCATCACCAACAGCCATTTCCTTTCTCTTAAGAGCACCACCAACACCAATCTCCTTACTAAGTTAGCAATACCTGTCTCCTTACTCTAAGCACCATCAGTACCATCTCCTGTAGCCTTGTGTTGCCCCCTGTCCTATCCTGTCTATTTCTCTACAGTATTACACCCCTTCTTGCTCACAGTAGTGGTAGCGTATGCTAGTGTTTGTGTCCAGCCTTGAGCTTGCTGGAACAGTTGTGTTTCTCTCCATCATTGTTTTAGTCTGCTAGGATCTTGCTGGGACAGTTGTGAGTGTGTCCAGCCTTGATTTAGTCTGCTAGGATCTTGCTGGACAGTTGTGCTTTCTTCTCCATTGTTTTAGTCTGCTAGGATCTTGCTTTGACAGTTGTGAGTGTGTTCAGCCTTGATTCAGTCTGCTAGGATCTTGCTGGGACAGTTGTGAGTGTGTCCAGCCTTGATTTAGTCTGCTTGGATCTTGCTTGGACAGTTGTGAGTGTGTCCAGCCTTGTTTTAGTCTGCTAGGATCTTGCTGGAACAGTTGTGTGTCCAGTCTTGTTTTAGTCTGCTAGGATCTTGCTGGGACAGTTGTGTGCCCAGCCTTGTTTTAGTCTGCTAGGATCATGCTGGGACAGTTGTGAGTGTGTCCAGCCTTGTCTTAGTCTGCTTGGATCTTGCTGGGACAGTTGTGAGTGTGTCCAGCCTTGTCTTAGTCTGCTTGGATCTTGCTGGGACAGTTGTGAGTGTGTCCAGCCTTGTTTTAGTCTGCTTGGATCTTGCTGGGACAGTTGTGAGTGTGTCCAGCCTTGTCTTAATCTGATTGGATCTTGCTGGGACAGTTGTGAGTGTGTCCAGCCTTATTTTAGTCTGCTAGGATCTTGCTGGGACAGTTGTGAGTGTGTCCAGCCTTGTTTTAGTCTGCTTGGATCTTGCTGGGACAGTTGTGAGTGTGTCCAGCCTTGTTTTAGTCTGCTTGGATCTTGCTGGGACAGTTGTGAGTGTGTCCAGCCTTGTCTTAGTCTGCTTGGATCTTGCTGGGACAGTTGTGAGTGTGTCCAGCCTTGTTTTAGTCTGCTAGGATCATGCTGGGACAGTTGTGAGTGTGTCCAGCCTTGTCTTAGTCTGCTTGGATCTTGCTGGGACAGTTGTGAGTGTGTCCAGCCTTGTCTTAGTCTGCTTGGATCTTGCTGGGACAGTTGTGAGTGTGTCCAGCCTTGTCTTAGTCTGCTTGGATCTTGCTGGGACAGTTGTGAGTGTGTCCAGCCTTGTTTTAGTCTGCTTGGATCTTGCTTGGACAGTTGTGAGTGTGTCCAGCCTTGTGCTGGGACAGTTGTTTGTCATAGTTCACATTTATATTTAGCTCCCACAAATCAATATGTCCCTCCTCCCCTGTATCTGTGTTATCTCCACCTTGGACAGGAAAATACAAACTAGGGCTATGTATGCTTTATTTTACCCTTATACTAATGAATGACAAAATCAGACACTGATATGAGGAACATGTGTTGCCTTACTTACTGAAACCGCTGTACAGGACAAGTTGCAAGGAGTCTCCCACTGCTCATCCTTGGGACTTTCAACTGTGTCGTGTATATGCACGCCTTGAAGTAGACCAATGATCCTAGAGCTACAGCAGCGTCTGTCAGGCTCTTTGATATAAGATTAGGCGTCACAACGCGCATTTTGAAAGAACAAGTGAATATTTTGATGTAATCAATTGTTCTTCAGTTGGCCAGAACTTTATATCAGGATCCTGTTCGTCAAGGTGATCGTAGCACTAGAAGTGTCATAAGTGATATTCTCAAAGATTTCGGGGCCAATCATTGTGCAATCTGGTGAGGGAGAATTGAAAATCCTGGAAAATGTCCTTAGATTTTACATACAAAAATCATTTACTGTAATGCTGGTTGGTCTGAAATAAATGTGTTCTCTGAATTCCTTTGAACCCATTGTACCACTATGATGATTGTAACTCCCCTATTTATACAAAGGCTTCTATACTAGTCGCACTAAGATAGCTCTGTCGAATTGGGACCCATCCTTAATGACAGTTTTAGAGCTACAGTTGCCGTGTGTAACAAGCCCCGGAGAGTTCTCTACAGTCCATTCTGGACAGGACAAACTCTGATGTGGGGAATAACAGCTGAACTTTGAACAAAACCTCACGGGTGAATAATAGCTATAACGCCCTGAGTTTTCAGTCGAATGGTTATAACTGGAGTTGAGTGTATATAATGGATTTCATTTTCTGAAAGCTCTGCCTGCCTCCCATGTTCTGACATGATCTTGTGTTTGTGTATTGGTGGTGGCTTGTTGACCTAATGAAAGTCTATTAATCCTTTGTTGTTGATATTGTCATTCAGACAGTTTGTTTCCTGTTGTTACCAACTGTGTTATAATTAATGTCCATTGTTGAAACTGATTTGATTAACCTTTTAATGGTCACTTACCCGAAGAAAGCAATATTACTGAGCAGAACTTCAAATTGTCCAGTGTAGCATCACACCTGTTTCATGTTGGAACAGACACCTGCCTGTGTTGCATTATATGCATAGATTCATGTTTTGTCTCTTCATACATTTAGAATTATATTTTAAATGCCAAAAATGCCAGAAGCCCGGCATGGCTTGACCAGACAGTGCATGAGCAGGTTAAGTGTGACGATGTCTCCCTAGAACTACCCAATTATTTGGATGGAACACACAACTTAAGTTCTCAAAATGATGAAATGTTCCAATCAAAAGTCATTACAATAAAGATTTGTGCTGTTACAGAGGCATTCAGGAGGTTGGATACAGACAATAGCTGTTTATTATTACTAAACATTGCACAGGTTAAATATACACTTCATGGTTGTCCTGTTTCTGGTTCCTTTAGTTCATTGTGAAAATCAAGTTTTAGGGTTCGGAAGTACTGCGAATATTGTGTGTAAATCCCTCAAAGAGCGTTCTGCCTTCGTGGTCAAACCTCACTGACTGGGTCAGCTTGACCTTGCTAGGTCATGTTGACCTATAGTTGGATGTTCTTCAACTACCAGTATGTTTGATGGCCTGAGATTGGTAGGTTAAAGTGACCTCTCCTTCTGAAGATGTTGGGGGAACCTATCTGTAAATACTACTACCAATAAAGTATTTTTCTAAACAGATTATCTTGTGTTGTTATGTACATGGTGTTTTAATGTGTTTGAGGTTCAGTGACCAACGGGTTACAGGAGAAATGTATGTATGCAGACCTTTACAGGGATGAGAATCTTCTACAAATATCCGTGAATTTTCGTGACCACAAATTTGTTAAAATCTGATGGCTTCCCCCATAAACACCCCCAGATAATGGACCACGCTCCATTGCAAAGATGTTTCAGCTGAAAGGAAAATATCCATTCTCATCCTGGTGTATATATGGGACAATAAAATCAGAGGAAGAGTGACGACTCTGCGACTTAGGGTTTGGAAGTACTGCGAATATTGTGTGTAAGTCCTTCAAAGAGTGTTCTGACTTCGTGGTCAAACCTCACTGACTGGGTCAGCTTGACCTTACCAGGTCATGTTGACCTATGGTTGGATGTTCTTGAACTACCAGATTATCTTTTGTTGTTATGTATAGGTGTTTTAATGTGTTTGAGGTTACCAAATGGTAACAGGAGAAACGTATGTATATATGGGTCAATAAAATCAGCGAGGAGTGATGGTATTTCAATGAACCGCGAGTGAGAAGAGTGTCTAATTCAGTATTTCATATACTCCTATAAAAAAAACACACACACAGGTGATTTTGATGTATATATGTGAAATGAATAAGCACATAAACCATATGTGAAGCATGAATGTGTCTTTATGTAGCAAATTAATGTCAATGTTGGAATAAAGAGGCAGAAACAACCCAATGCATAATCAATACGTAACAGATGCATTGGCCAAAAACATTGCTGGGTTGACAAAACCATCTCCGTAAACAACTGTGCAACTGTGAAGTCAAGCTACAACAAACTGAAACACAGTGAAACAACCTCTGGATGATTGGGCAAAGGAGATTTGCAGTCGACTGTAGCCAGCATTTTCAAAGTGTCCAAGAGCACCATCTTGTGACTTTGGTATTGGTACCAACAACATTGTAAGTCATTGGCACCGACCCAGGTCTGGTGGAAGTGTGTTGCAGTGGCTGACCAGGGGAGCTTCATACAGTTAGGTCATTTGTGGCAAAGGTGTACAACAGCATCGTCTGCAACAGCATCAATTCCAGGATTGGAGGAAAGCCACCCAACCCCTTAGTTGCCTCTTATGACAAGCATAGTCGTCTTTTACTTTACATGGGTTGCTGTAGACCTATTCTACCCTGGATCTTCAGGGGTTGGCCCTATTGTATAGTTGAAAGTTCTCGTCAATGCATATTTATATCTACGAATCATCAGGTCACCTAAAGCATCACCTAATGTCAAAGTTTGTCATTATTGTTTCATTTATTGTATTGGAAACCCAGGCGCAGTTGTAAACTGGGTTTTGCTGTACACTGATCAAGACTGAATACACACATGCCTTATTACTGATAAGTGTGAAAGTCGTAGAACTGAAACAAACGTCAGTGTTTAGCGTAATGGTCTTAAAACACACATAACATGTAGGCTGTAGCCATGAAGTAGGGCTAGTAAAATACGATGAGTGTTTGCAACATTCTTTGTTAACAAGTTCTTCTGGCAAGTGAACGATAGGAACTAATTCATACACCGACGTTCATTCTAGATTTATGCTTCATATGAGCTGATGAGAGAGCCAGGGTGCCGTCGTAATGAGGTCGATGGCTTTGGCGCGGGCAGCATAAAGATATGGGCGGGAATCGCCCACACTGGTTGAACATACCAGGTGCAAGTGCAAGGCAACTTTACACCCCAACACTGTTGTGATGACTTCCTACAACTTGGCACTACCAAACCATACACAGCCCCTGTAACAGTAGCATTTATACTGAACTACAATGTACAAGTGACCCTCTAAATCCTAAAGCCGAAAGATTCCGACCTACAGACACCGCAACAGCTTGTACATGCTGTGTGGGTTAACAATCACCAACGCATGATCTGTACTCTCACGTGGTCCATGGGCAGGGCGTGCCATGCAGTATATGACGCTAATGGTGACAACTCGAGATATTGTGTTCCTATGACCTTGACCTTTATCAATTTCTGTGTAATGTCTACATCATAGACATATGTTTATTGTTGTGCTGCTTGCGATATGTCGTCAGTCATCTAGTATTAAGATGTGCAATAAATATGTTATCTTTCATATCAAAATTCTGGTTATGCGTTTCTTTCTTTGAGGAGAATATAACATCACCACCGATCCAGGTACACCACATTCAATCGCCTGAATACATGCCATAGAATCTAGGGCTGGGACGAGTCCAAATTTGCTACCCGGGTCCCGCTGTAGGTCTCAAGAAATGTCCGATAAGGAATTGTTTGACCAGGGCCCTGCCAGAAAGTATTCAGGTACACTATGGAACAATCTGGTCATGCATGCACTGAAGTTGACTGAAGCTTTATCTTTAATCAAAAATATATAAGTCAGAAGGAATGCGTGAAGGAAATGTGAACATTCGTGACCTGTAGTGTATCTTGTCCTCCAGATAACTTTTGTCCTCAAACAATATATCAAGTGACTCACCACGAGTCCGGATAGTCTTGTGGGTAGCCAGGTCGTACTCAGTACCCACCCGTCCCGAGTACCCGAGTCACCCGTCTCATCATCATCATAGTTTTCGCCCAATCATTTTTAGACGTCCAGTACTGCAATGGGTGCAGAAGAGAATATCGGCACTGATAAGCAATCATGAAGTCGAAACATTAATTTTATTTCGAAGTCATGATTACAATGCTGCAGTGCTTCGTGAATGTTGTTGTCTCCCTTTGTTGTTCATACACGCTGCCACAGGACCATTGGACCATTGGACCCGTAAAGATCCGGGATAGAATAGGTTTTTCAGCAACCCATGCTGGCCGTCGAAAGTAGCGACTAACGGGATCGGGTTGTCAGGCTCGCTGACTTGGTCGATGCATGTCATCGTATCCCAATTGTGTGTATCGATGTTCATAATTTTAATCACTGGATTGTCTGCTTTGACTCGACTATTTACAGACGACCGCCATATAGCTGGAATATTGCTGGGGACGGCGTTAAACAAGAAACAAACAAACATATACGTTAGATGAATACTCGCGCAGGGAATATGACAGTGTCAGTGAGTATTTTACGCCGCTTTTAGCAATATTCCAGTAAAAACAGCGGAAGACACCAGAAATGAACCAACGTGTACCTTCCGTGTGTCGAGCGACCACTTGGACCACTAGACCACCCCCACAACCCCTCAGTGTGATATGGTGTTCACAAGCAATTACACTGAACAGTGCAGCATACTCTCAACAATACATATGGGTTTAGGGTTCGGAAGTACTGCGAATATTGTGTGTAAGTCACTCAAAGAGTGTTCTGACTTCGTGGTCAAACCTCACTGACTGGGTCAGCTTGACCTTACCAGGTCATGTTGACCTATGGTTGGATGTTCTTGAACTACCAGATTATCTTTTGTTGTTATATAATGTGTTTGAGGTTGAGTAACCAAATGGAAACAAGTGAAACGTTTGTATGTATGGGTCAATAGAATCAGCGAGGAGTGACGGTATTTAAATGATCCACGAGTGAGAGGAGTGTGTATTTCATATACTCCTAAAAACATAACAAACAGGTTATGGTGATGTACATATGTGAAATAAATAAGCACATAAACCATATGTGAAGCATGAATGTGTCTTTATGTAGCAAATTAATGTCAATGTTGGAATAAAGAGGCAGAAAAGGGTGGAATGCTGAAGACATTTCTATTTGTTAATTTGGTATCAGTGGATAAGTTTTAACTGGATTGAGTTGTCTCTTTGATGCATATCTGAGATCTCGTGTTATCATCATCTTCAACATCAGCATGATTCCCCACATGTGTACTATGTGTATAGCCCATTGCTGGGTCTCACCCTCACCATCACTACCACCACCCCAACCCCCGACACACACACACACACACACACACACACACACACACACACACCCTACACACACACACACACACGCACACGCACACGCACACACAAACACCACACACGCACACACCACACACACCACACACACACACACACACACACACACACACACACACACACACACACACACACACACACACACACACACACACACACAACACACACACACACACACACACACAACACACACACACACACACCACACACCCCATGATATTTAAAATTATTTTTATAAATTAATCACGCCATCGATTTCATATGTCCCAGCGATAACCCCATTCGACTGCCCATTCCCGTTCATTTCGTTTTGTCCTGTGTGTTTCTTGGAGAAATATAATCGATGACTTTTTGGATCGAGGGATATTAAATATATCAGTTTTCAGTTTGGAGACCCCGAGCATTCATTGAAAAAATTGTAAACTCAGACACAACCTAGACTTTCATAATATGTGAAGGATAACCCACGGTGCAAGCTAGACGTTCATAATGTGTCAAGGATAACCCATGGTGCAACCTAGACGTTCATAGTGTGTCAAGGATAACCCACGGTGCAACCTAGACGTTCATAGTGTGTCAAGGATAACCCACGGTGCAACCTTGACTTTCATAGTGTGTCAAGGATAACCCACGGTGCAAGCTAGACGTTCATAATGTGTCAAGGATAATCCATGGTGCAACCTAGACGTTCATAGTGTGTCAAGGATAACCCACGGTGCAACCTTGACTTTCACAGTGTGTCAATGATAACCCACAGTGCAACCTAGACGTTAGGTAGTGTGTCAATGATAACCCACGGTGCAACCTAGACGTTCAGTAGTGTGTCAAAGATAACCCACGGTGCAACCTAGACGTTCATAATGTGTCAAGGATAACCCACGGTGCAACCTAGACGTTCATATTGTGTCAAGGATAACCCACGGTGCAACCTAGACGTTCATAATGTGTCAAGGATAACCCACGGTGCAACCTAGACGTTCAGTAGCGTGTCAAAGATAACCCACGGTGGAACCTTGACTTTCATAGTGTGCCAAGGATAACCCACAGTGCAACCTAGACGTTCAGTAGAGTGTCAAAGATAACCCACAGTGCAACCAACACTTTCATAGTGTGTCAAGGATAACCCACGGTGCAACCTAGACGTTCAGTAGTGTGTCAAGGATAACCCACAGTGCAACCTAGACGTTCATAATGTGTCAAAGATAACCCACGGTGCAACCTAGACGTTCATAATGTGTCAAAGATAACCCACGATGCAACCTAGACGTTCATAATGTGTCAAGGATAACCCACGGTGCAACGTAGACTTTCACAGTGTGTCAAGGATAACTTAAGTTGCAACCTAGACGTTCAGAATGTGTCAAGGATAACCTACGGTGCAACCAACACTTTCATAGTGTGTCAAGGATAACCCACGGTGCAACCAACATTTTAACAATGTGTCAAGGATAACCCACTGTGCAACCTATACTTTAATAGTGTGTCAAGGATAATACGTATTTAATGACCACATCACCGCAGAGAAAAAAATAAATTTGAAAGCAATAGTTTTCTTTCAAAAGAGCGATCCTGTAGGCAACTTCAAATATTGAAGTATACTGAGTACGATTGGAACTACCGTGTTGTGGATCCTAGACTCATCCTAGACATGTTCGACAGAAAACCAGACAAACAACGACATTAATGTCGTTCCTGACGACTCCTTTACGTCCCTTGATAGAAGCCACCCACATCCTCCCCATAGCCCATCCAAACAACAACCACGCATCCACTGCTTGACTCTAAGTTAGCCTTCCACGCTTGGAATCTCGACCGATCTTGTGTACGCGAAACAGGACCATACACGAATGAATAAGAATCACTAGATTTGTTTTTTCTTTCAATTATCAATATTTGACGAAGGGATCGATTATGGCGCACTGTGTTCTACGCAGAAAATACAAAGAATATTTCGTTAACGATATGGAATAAGCACTGAGCGGCTTCTGTTCCCACGTCCCCGGTCCATGCATATATTGTTGTAATCCTCATACGTTGACGCAGACGACGCTAATCAGAGCAAAACGGGAGAAGACAAACGGGCAACACTTTTACATATGATTACTTCCTGGTCCGCGACTCCAGTGGGCATTTTTTATGATCAACTTAACATGTGTGTGTCTCGTAATCTCGCCCTTGGCTGGGAGAACTTGGAAGGGAATCCCCTTTGATTCTGTTCACATATGCAGAGAAAAGTAGAGTGTGCAGCAAGTTGATTTGTACTTATAGTCTCCCAACACTACGTCCTCTAAGTATGGCTTACTTCAGTGAACATTTTCGCAAACAAACGAGCGCATAACCTATGTTTCACACCAGGATATAACATTGTATTAATGGGACACTCCCTGGTGCTTGTAAGAGAACCGTACGCATTTCCATACATGTCCAATAAATATTATGTGATGGAGAAACCATAAATGGTTTGTCCAACTTATAAAACGCTATCCATTAATCTATGTCATTTTTGGAGCTTATATTTACGCGGTATACGGGTCGCAAATAAGTGCGGTATAACGAGACACGCTTTATAACAGTTGTTATCGCGGGCCGCTGCGCGGACTGCACGTGCAGAAGAAGGCTGTAGGGGGGCGAAAACTGGTTTTGAATGATTTTAAGACCATTTTAATGGCCTTAGAGAGCATGTATTTTGAAAAATTATATATTTATCTACATTTTACATGAATGCGTGAGAATTTCCCAACCCTGCGTGTGGGCGTGACATAGGTGATCAATGCGAGATGCGTGAGAGTTGACAGGTCTGTAGAACTGTTGCTGAATGCAATAAACAGGACGTTGTTATACATATACTAGTAGTCTATAGTTGAATGGTTTTTTTGTAACATTCACTGATGTCTGCTATCGATCGCGACACATACAGCTGTTGGTAAGAATACACGTGACACAATGACATAATCACCCTGTGATCACGTTTCTGAACGACAACCGTTGACTGCCTCACTGCGGTTGAAAATATTGTCGTCTGCGCAGTGAGGTGCGACTTTTGACCTTTGAACTTCTACATTACTACTCTCAGCCAATGGACGCTGAGCATACGCACTGAAACAGACTCGTGGAGTTGAAATATTGATATCACGAAGTGGGCGATTCAGAGTGTTTGTTTTGAGAGGTGAGTCGAATGTTAATTCAGCGCCACTTGGCTAAACGCGTCTGAACGAGGCAACTCGCACATTCACTATGTATCAGGATTAACTCTCACCTAATCAGGCTTGTGTTTGGCGTGATCCTACATCGTAGACATTTGTTTTGGGAGTGACTTGCACATGTTGAATTGATGTCAGAGACAGTTTTGGAAGACACAAATAATGCTGTTTTCTCTGTCACTACGTTTGGTTTTCCTCATCGCGATTGTCTTGATCAGTGTGTCTGTCGGAACCAGTGTCACCGTGGAGGACGTCCTTCAGTGTTCTGCAGATGGCATGAAATGTTGCGGTAACATGAGAGAGGACAGACTGCCGAACCTCATCTTGAATTACGACTGCAGTCAGCCTGACAACGTCACCCTTCTCCTACCACCCGGCACCAACAAAACATCCCCATTCCGACTCTTCTTCTCAAGCTCGTGCATCACACGTCTCCCTGAGGATATATGTGATTATCCCAACATTGCAAGTATACGTGCGGTGACCGGTAAAATCGAAACAATTCCCAGCCTTAGCTGTCTGAAGAATTTGATAGCTCTGGTACTTTTCAACCAGGAAGTTAAATCTGTTGAGACGGGTGTGTTCTTTGGTTTGGAAAGGTTGAGATACATCAATCTTGCTCGTAATAAAATACATACTATTGAGCCAGGAGTGTTCAGTGAAGACTTACATGGATTGATGAGGGTTCATCTTGACTACAACGAGCTGACAGCGTCTGAGGCCTGGCCGATGAGGATTACCCATGACTTCTGTCATTTCGGCCTAAGTTACAATAAGATATCCCATTTCTCAAACGAAGAAAACTGGTTAGTGGATAAAAAAAAAAGCTATGGACCCGGTATGGTGAACTTTTCTCACAATTTGTATACGAAATGGGTGTCAGAGGAATTGAAGATCTATGGAATTCATGATCTGAAAATTATTGGTATATTTAGGAGATGGGGATTTGACTTCAGACATAATAAGTGGATCTGTGATTGCAATTTTCATGAATTTCTCCACCTGGCATCGAATTTAACTACATTAATATGGAGGTACTTCTACAATGTTCTCTGCGACAGTCCAGCTCATCTGAAAGGAAAGCAAATTCTAAATCTGCCACTGGATGCGTTTGTGTGTAACGTCACGGACAAATGTCCTCAAGATTGTTTATGTCAGGATCAGCCGGAGAAAAAACAGATGTTGGTTGACTGCCGTGGTAGAAACTTGACACGTTTACCGTCCACGGTTCCCGAAGGTAATTTAAAACTGCTTTTTGGCGATAATTCCATTACCTTCTTGGAAGCAGTAGGTTATTTTCAAAGAACAAAATATCTTGACGTATCTAGAAATAATATTAAAATTATTGAACCTTCAGCAATTGACCTTTTGCAAAATGGGGTTGCATTTCTGGGCCTATCGGACAATCTTCTTGAGTTTTTACCGACAAAAATCCAGAACATCCATTATTCTAAACTAGAAATCAACAGAAACCCATTTGTGTGCAGCTGTTCCTCCACGTGGATGTCACTGTGGCTCAGATACCAACCTCGGAACTACAACGTCACCGACATCACTTGCTTGATGCCAGCGGGCAATACCGTACAGCTTGTACGAGCAGACAAAAAGTTACTTAGCTGTCAGATTCGCAGTCCTTTTCCTAAGATATTCAGCGCCCTGTTGGGAACATTTGCAGCCATATTTGTGCTTTTGGTGGCCCTTGTTGTGGTGTTTCGGTATGAAGTGATGCACCTTCTTCATACGGGTGCAAAAAAGCTGAAGCGAACTAGCGATGACGACTCCGAGTACGATTTGTTTGTGTCGGTGGATGGAGAGAGTGAGTCTGACCGAGTCTGGTCCAAGAAACTACTTGAAGAACTGGAGCAGAATCACAACCTCAGACTGTACTTCCCGCTCCGGGACATGGACCCGGGGACAGTAATTACTGATGAAGTCATCAAGACGCTCCAGAGAAGCCGCGCAGCTGTCATTGTGCTGTCTGGTAGCTATGTGGACAATCCCTCCAAGATGTTCGAGTTCACGGAGGCCTACAATATCATGGTCAAACAGCGTCGTGGCCGTGTGATCGTCGCCAGGCTCGACAACGTCACCACTGCCAGTAATGGCTACCTGAACGCTTTTCTAAAACTTAAGAAGTATATAGATGCTGACAACTGCGACTTGTTCGAAAAGATCGCGCATGAAGTTCAGGAGGAGAAATCTCAAAATTCTCCTACTCTATCTGTGAGCCAAGTTGAAATAATGGCTTAAAAGTAGTGCCTTTCTTGTGATACAAACTTGAGTTTCATCAAAACAGCAATGTCGGTTATTGTGGTTCCTACTGATGTAGATAATGGTTCAGTTCCACTCAACCAATAAACTACATCATGTTTTTACGAACTGTGTGCCATTTGTGTTTCGTCAAATACATACTTTACGTAAAATATACATTCTTAAATCCATTCAGTGAATCAGCGAAGATTCCAGAGCAGAATAAGCCCAAATATCCATGTTCTTCGCAAGAGACTATTAAGATATTGACCTGTGACTTCTGACTGGTTTCTTGGCTGCCATCGAACCGACGCCTTTGTCTGATCCAGGCTTCAATACGTACAGGTCATTGGGATGAAGATTCAATATTATTGGCCTAAAGCTTCAGTACTTACAGGTCATCGTGATGAAGATTCAATATTATTGGCCTAAAGCTTCAGTACTTACAGGTCATCGTGATGAAGATTCAATATTATTGGCCTAAGGCTTCAGTACTTACAGGTCATTGGGATGAAGATTCAATATTATTGGCCTAAAGCTTCAATACTTACAGGCCATTGTGATGAAGATTCAATATTATTGGCCTGAAGCTTCAGTACTTACAGGTCATCGTGATGAAGATTCAATATTATTGGCCTAAAGCTTCAATACTTACAGGTCATCGTGATGAAGATTCAATATTATTGGCCTAAAGCTTCAGTACTTACAGGTCATTGGGATGAAGATTCAATATCATTGGCCTAAAGCTTCAGTACTTACAGGTCAATGGGGTGAAGATTCAATATTACTGGCCTAAGGCTTCAGTACTTACAGGTCATCGTGATGAAGATTCAATATTATTGGCCTAAAGCTTCAATACTTACAGGTCATTGGGATGAAGCTTCAATATTATTGGCCTCAAGCTTCAGTACTTACAGGTCATCGTGATGAAGATTCAATATTATTGGCCTAAAGCCTGAGTACTTACAGGTGATCGTGATGAAGATTCAATATTATTGGCCTAAAGCTTCAATACTTACAGGTCATTGGGATGAAGCTTCAATATTATTGACTATAGGCTTCAATAACTGTTTTAATTGTTTTACATGTCAATGTAAGGACACTGCTTAGGGTTAGGCGGCTATTAACTATACCGTGCACCACCAACAGCCATTTCCTTACTCTTAAGAGCACCACTCAACAGTCATTTCCTTACTCTTAAGAGCACCAACAGCCATTTCCTTACTCTTAAGAGCACCAAAAGCCATTTCCTTTCTCTTAAGAGCACCACCAACAGCCATTTCCTTACTCTTAAGAGCACCACCAACAGCAATTTCCTTACTCTTAAGAGCACCAACAGCCATTTCCCTACTCTTATGAGCACCACCAACATCCGTTTCCTTACTCTTAAGAGCACCACCAACAGTCATTCCCTTACTCTTAAGAGTACCAACAGCCATTTCCTTACTCTTAAGAGCACCAACAGCCATTTCCTTACTCTTAAGAACACCAACAGCCATTTCCTTTCTCTTAGAGCACCACCAACAGCCATTTCCTTACTCTTAAGAGCACCACCAACAGTCATTTCCTTACTCTTAAGAGTACCAACAGCCTTTTCCTTACTCTTAAGAGCACCAGCAGCCATTTCCCTACTCTTATGAGCACCAACAGCCATTTCCTTACTCTTAAGAGCACCACCAACAGTCATTTCCTTACTCTTAAGAGCACCACCAACAGCCATTTCCTTACTCTTAAGAGCATCACAAACAGCCATTTCCGTTTTCTTAAGAGCACCACCAACAGCCATTTCCTTACTCTTAAGAGCACCACCAACACCTATCTTCTTATTCTTGAGAACATCACCAACACCCATCTTCTTACTCTTAGGAAACATCACAAACACCCATCTTCTTACTAAGTTAACAATACCTGTCTTCTTACTCTAAGCACCATCAGTACCATCTCCTGTAGCCTTGTGTTGCCCCCTGTCCTAGCCTGTCTATTTCTCTACAGTATTACACCCCTTCTTGCTCACAGCAGTGGTAGCGTATGCTAGTGTTTGTGTCCAGCCTTGATCTTGCTGGAACAGTTGTGTTTCTCTCCATCATTGTTTTAGTCTGCTAGGATCTTGCTGGGACAGTCCTCTGTATCTGTGTTATCTCCACCTTGGACAGGATAATACAAACTAGGGCTATGTATGCTTTATTTTACCCTTATACTAATGAATGACAAAATCAGACACTGATATGAGGAACATGTGTTGCCTTACTTACTGAAACCGCTGTACAGGACAAGTTGCAAGGAGTCTCCCACTGCTCATCCTTGGGACTTTCAACTGTGTTGTGTATATGCACGCCTTGAAGTAGACCAATGATCCTAGAGCTACACCAGCGTCTGTCAGGCTCTTAGATATAAGATTAAGCGTCACAACAGGCATTTTGAAAGAACAAGTGAATATTTTGATGTAATCAGTTGTTCTTCAGTTGGCCAGAACTTTATATCAGGATCCTGTTCGTCAAGGTGATCGTAGCACTAGAAGTGTCATAAGTGATATTCTCAAAGATTTCGGGGCCAATCATTGTACAATCTGGTGAGGGAGAATTGAAAATCCTGGAAATGTCCTTAGATTTTACATACAAAAATCATTTACTGTAATGCTGGATGGTCTGAAATAAATGTGTTCTCTGAATTCCTTCGAACCCATCGTACCACTATGATGATTGTAACTCCCCTATTTATACAAAGGCTTCTATACTAGTCGCACTAAGATAGCTCTGTGGAATTGGGACCCATCCTTAATGACAGTTTTAGAGCTACAGTTGCCGTGTGTAACAAGCCCCGGAGAGTTCTCTACAGTCCATTCTGGACAGGACAAACTCTGATGTGGGTAATAACAGTTGCACTTTGAACAAAACCTCACGGGTGAATAATAGCTATAACGCCCTGAGTTTTCAGTCGAATGGTTATTTCTTGAGTTGACTGTATATAATGGATTTCATTTTCTGAAAGTTCTGCCTGCCTCCCATGTTCTGACATGATCTTGTGTTTGTGTATTGGTGGTGGCTTGTTGACCTAATGAAAGTCTATTAATCCTTTGTTGTTGATATTGTCATTCAGACAGTTTGTTTCCTGTTGTTACCAACTGTGTTATAATTAATGTCCATCGTTGAAACTGATTTGATTAACCTTTTAATGGTCATTTACCCGAAGAAAGCAATATTACTGAGCAGAACTTCAAATTGTCCAGTGTAGCATCACATCTGTTTCATGTTGGAACAGACACCTGCCTGTGTTGCATTATATGCATAGATTCATGTTTTGTCTCTTCATACATTTAGAATTATATTTTAAATGCCAAAAATGCCAGAAGCCCGGCATGGCTTGTCCAGACAGTGCATGAGCAGGTTAAGTGTGACGATGTCTCCCTAGAACTACCCAATTATTTGGATGGAAAACACAACTTAAGTTCTCAAAATGATGAAATGTTCCAATCAAAAGTCATTACAACAAAGATTTGTGCTGTTACAGAGGCATTCAGGAGGTTGGATACAGACAATAGCTGTTTATTATTACTAAACATTGCACAGGTTAAATATACACTTCATGGTTGTCCTGTTTCTGGTTCCTTTAGTTCATTGTGAAAATCAAGTTTTAGGGTTCGGAAGTACTGCGAATATTGTGTGTAAATCCCTCAAAGAGTGTTCTGCCTTCGTGGTCAAACCTCACTGACTGGGTCAGCTTGACCTTGCCAGGTCATGTTGACCTATAGTTGGATGTTCTTCAACTACCAGTATGTTTGATGGCCTGAGATTGGTAGGTTAAAGTGACCTCTCCTTCTGAAGGTGTTGGGGGAACCTATCTGTAAATACTACTACCAATAAAGTATTTTTCTAAACAGATTATCTTGTGTTGTTATGTACATGGTGTTTTAATGTGTTTGAGGTTCAGTGACCAACGGGTTACAGGAGAAATGTATGTATGCAGACCTTTACAGGGATGAGAATCTTCTACGAATATCCGTGAATTTTCGTGACCACAAATTTGTTAAAATCTGATGGCTTCCCCCATAAACACCCCCAGATTATGGACCACGCTCCATTGCAAAGATGTTTCAGCTGAAAGGAAAATATCCATTCTCATCCTGGTGTATATATGGGACAATAAAATCAGAGGAAGAGTGACGACTCTGCGACTTAGGGTTTGGAAGTACTGCGAATATTGTGTGTAAGTCACTCAAAGAGTGTTCTGACTTCGTGGTCAAACCTCACTGACAGGGTCAGCTTGACCTTACCAGGTCATGTTGACCTATGGTTGGATGTTCTTGAACTACCAGATTATCTTTTGTTTTTATGTATAGGTGTTTTAATGTGTTTGAGGTTACCAAATGGTAACAGGAGAAACGTATGTATATATGGGTCAATAAAATCAGCGAGGAGTGATGGTATTTCAATGAACCGCGAGTGAGAAGAGTGTCTAATTCAGTATTTCATATACTCCTATAAAAAAACCACACACACAGGTGATTTTGATGTATATATGTGAAATGAATAAGCACATAAACCATGTGTGAAGCATGAATGTGTCTTTATGTAGCAAATTAATGTCAATGTTGGAATAAAAAGGCAGAAACAACCCAATGCATAATCAATACGTAACAGATGCATTGGCCAAAAACATTGCTGGGTTGACAAAACCATCTCCGTAAACAACTGTGCAACTGTGAAGTCAAGCTACAACAAACTGAAACACAGTGAAACAACCTCTGGATGATTGGGCAAAGGAGATTTGCAGTCGACTGTAGCCAGCATTTTCAAAGTGTCCAAGAGCACCATCTTGTGACTTTGGTATTGGTACCAACAACATTGTAAGTCATTGGCACCGACCCAGGTCTGGTGGAAGTGTGTTGCAGTGGCTGACCAGGGGATCTTCATACAGTTAGGTCATTTGTGGCAAAGGTGTACAACAGCATCGTCTGCAACAGCATCAATTCCAGGATTGGAGGAAAGCCACCCAACCCCTTAGTTGCCTCTTATGACAAGCATAGTCGTCTTTTACTTTACATGGGTTGCTGTAGACCTATTCTACCCTGGATCTTCAGGGGTTGGCCCTATTGTATAGTTGAAAGTTCTCGTCAATGCATATTTATATCTACGAATAATCAGGTCACCTAAAGCATCACCTAATGTCAAAGTTTGTCATTATTGTTTCATTTATTGTATTGGAAACCCAGGCGCAGTTGTAAACTGGGTTTTGCTGTACACTGATCAAGACTGAATACACACATGCCTTATTACTGATAAGTGTGAAAGTCGTAGAACTGAAACAAACGTCAGTGTTTAGCGTAATGGTCTTAAAACACACATAACATGTAGGCTGTAGCCATGAAGTAGGGCTAGTAAAATACGATGAGTGTTTGCAACATTCTTTGTTAACAAGTTCTTCTGGCAAGTGAACGATAGGAACTAATTCATACACCGACGTTCATTCTAGATTTATGCTTCATATGAGCTGATGAGAGAGCCAGGGTGCCGTCGTAATGAGGTCGATGGCTTTGGCGCGGGCAGCATAAAGATATGGGCAGAAATCGCCCACACTGGTTGAACATACCAGGTGCAAGTGCAAGGCAACTTTACACCCCAACACTGTTGTGATGACTTCCTACAACTTGGCACTACCAAACCATACACAGCCCCTGTAACAGTAGCATTTATACTGAACTACAATGTACAAGTGACCCTCTAAATCCTAAAGCCGAAAGATTCCGACCTACAGACACCGCAACAGCTTGTACATGCTGTGTGGGTTAACAATCACCAACGCATGATCTGTACTCTCACGTGGTCCATGGGCAGGGCGTGCCATGCAGTATATGACGCTAATGGTGACAACTCGAGATATTGTGTTCCTATGACCTTGACCTTTATCAATTTCTGTGTAATGTCTACATCATAGACATATGTTTATTGTTGTGCTGCTTGCGATATGTCGTCAGTCATCTAGTATTAAGATGTGCAATAAATATGTTATCTTTCATATCAAAATTCTGGTTATGCGTTTCTTTCTTTGAGGAGAATATAACATCACCACCGATCCAGGTACACCACATTCAATCGCCTGAATACATGCCATAGAATCTAGGGCTGGGACGAGTCCAAATTTGCTACCCGGGTCCCGCTGTAGGTCTCAAGAAATGTCCGATAGGGAATTGTTTGACCAGGGCCCTGCCAGAAAGTATTCAGGTACACTATGGAACAATCTGGTCATGCATGCACTGAAGTTGACTGAAGCTTTATCTTTAATCAAAAATATATAAGTCAGAAGGAATGCGTGAAAGAAATGTGAACATTCGTGACCTGTAGTGTATCTTGTCCTCCAGATAACTTTTGTCCTCAAACAATATATCAAGTGACTAACCACGAGTCCGGATAGTCTTGTGGGTAGCCAGGTCGTACTCAGTACCCACCCGTCCCGAGTACCCGAGTCACCCGTCTCATCATCATCATAGTTTTCGCCCAATCATTTTTAGACCTCCAGTACTGCAATGGGTGCAGAAGAGAATATCGGCACTGATAAGCAATCATGAAGTCGAAACATTAATTTTATTTCGAAGTCATGATTACAATGCTGCAGTGCTTCGTGAATGTTGTTGTCTCCCTTTGTTGTTCATACACGCTGCCACAGGACCATTGGACCATTGGACCCGTAAAGATCCGGGATAGAATAGGTTTTTCAGCAACCCATGCTGGCCGTCGAAAGTAGCGACTAACGGGATCGGGTTGTCAGGCTCGCTGACTTGGTCGATGCATGTCATCGTATCCCAATTGTGTGTATCGATGTTCATAATTTTAATCACTGGATTGTCTGCTTTGACTCGACTATTTACAGACGACCGCCATATAGCTGGAATATTGCTGGGGACGGCGTTAAACAAGAAACAAACAAACATATACGTTAGATGAATACTCGCGCAGGGA